GGTATAAATCAGTGGACTGAATGGCATGTAACTGCTAACATCTGTGTTGAACAACATTTTGTCATAAATAGCGACTGTTCCAGTTACTCAAAATTGAGCTGTATAAATGAACTTCAATAGAAATGAATAAAAATTATAACAATGCTGTGTAGGACTCTACCTATTTAAACCTCAGTTGCCTCATTTTAAAAAGTTAATAAAACAAATTTCCCAAGCAGTGAATATTTCTTTGCCAGTGAACATTTGAAAATTATAATAATTATTTTGAACATTTATGAAAGTAACTGCATTAAGCACTTTAAAAATATATCATTTAATCATTAAAATAGCCTTATGAAGTAGGCATCATAACTGATCTTTATTTCACCGATGAAGAAGTTGAGGTGTGTTTAATTAATGTCCTTGCAGTTACTCCGTTGATCAATAGTAGACTTAGGCTTTGAACTCACACTTGGCTCATGCTCCTAACCACTAAACACCTAGACAAAACCTGGTGGATACAAAACCACATCCATTAACTGACTTGAGTTCACAACTGCCTTTGTAGTGTTTCTTTTATCCCTAATACCCAGTGCTGGTACTTTAAAGAATCTGTGGATAAATACAGAGTATTGTTTATTCAGTGGTGCTCACTTAGGATTCAAAACTTAAACAAATGTGATTTGTTCTTTCTTCTAGAAAAGTTAAGAATCTGGAGCAGATGCTAAGGGGAACTAGGACCAAGAAAGTAGAGCCCGCTGGTTGTGGTTCTTCTAGAAAGGCCAGGAGAAGTGCAGGACTCATTGTTAGGGGAACCTGTTTCCCAGGGTGGGGACCGCAATCAGAACGGACCAGCCAGCCCCAGCAAGCTTTGAGGGAACCACACCAGGGCCGGTGTGCAGTAGTAGTAGGTATGCTCTCTGAACCTTCGTGTGTGTGTGTATGAAATTTCCACCATTTCTATTAATATTGTTTTCTTTGAACCTTGTCTGGGTCCCAACGGCGTTTTGACAGATCCAGTTCTCTGGCACCTTTGAATCTTCAGCCCCACCCTCCGTTTGGGGGGAACTCTTTGGATGCCACAGGCTCAGGACTGAGAGCGAATTCTTAGAATGCGGAGGAGGACAATGAGGAGTAACTCAAGTGGACGTCCTGGCACTGAGAGCTGGTTGGGTGGCTAGTTGTGCCATGTTGAACGAGTCAGAAAGAGGAGAGAAGAGGGCAGGCAGAAGAGCAGAAAAGGAAATGGGGATGGTTGAAACTGGGTCTGAAGCTCACAAATCAGTCTCTGCTTCTCACTGAAGAATTTGATAAATTCTGACAAGATTGGGCAAGCTTGTTCACCTAGTTAAGCTGGGCAAGAAGATCATAACTGTTGAAAAGATCTTGCCCTAGGTAGCTGGTGGAGGAGACCAAGAGGTACCCGGAAATGCATTGGCTGGCTCAGCAAGTGTGACAAAGGAATAATATGCGATAACAGTGGAATAGTAGTAATGTTTTTTCTGGATTTGGAAAATTGCAGCACTCCATATACAACGAGTCCTGGTGTGGCGCTGTGGGTTAATGTGCCAGACTGCAAAGCCGTTTGAACTGCGAGGTTGGCGGTTCAAGCTCATCAGCTGCTCCTCAGAAACCTTATACAGGGTCGCTATGGGTCGGAACCGACTCGACGGCACTTCACAACAACAACATATATACAACAAAATGTTTGCAATTTCAACCATTTTTGCATGTACAAAATCCATCTACATGAACCACATTCCCCATGCTGCACAACATCACCACTATTTCCAAATCTTTTTTTCTCTCTTTCTCTTTTCCCCTTCTTTCTCCCCCCCTCCCCTTTTTTTTTTAATTTGTGGGAAAGTTCCCAATGGTTTGTCCAAATGAAAAAATATACATTTTTCCCCTTTCAATACATAAAAAAGACAAAAAAGAAGCAGTTTCCTTTTTTCTTTTCCCATTCCTATTCTTTTTAACTGCTTTCCACATCACCCAATTTAGCATGTGTCTATACTCCAACCAGTGAATAACTCCCCATTACCTCTCACTCCTGGTAACCATTAGAAAATATTTATTATAGAATAAAAACCTTTCCTTGGCTTTTTACAGTAGTGGTCTCATACAATATCTGTCCCTTTGTTACTAATTTCACTCAGCATAATGTCCTCTAGGCTCCTCCCTGTTATGTGGTATTTTGTAGATTCATAATATTCCATTGCGTGTATGTACCAAAGATTGTTCGACCATTCCTCCTTTTGCTGGGCATCTAGACTCTCCATCTTTTTGCTATTGTGAATAATGTTGCAATGAACATAGGTGTGCAAATATCACAGTTCTTATTTCTTAAAGATGTATACCAAGTAAAGATTAAGGACCTCTGGAAGCATAGTGTTACCAGCCGTGCTGCTAACCTCAAGGTCAGCAGTTCGAAACTACCAGCCATTCCACAGGAGAAAGATAAGGCTTATTTTTGCTCCTGTAAAAATTTACAGTCTTAGAAACCCTATTTAGGGTCGCTATGAGTCAGAATCACCTCCAGGGCACACCACCACCACCAAGTAGAGATTGCTCTTTATAGATGAATATTCTATAGCGTAGTGGTTACGAATCGGGCTGCGAACTGCAAGGTCAGCAGTTCGAAACTACCAGCTGTTCCGCGGGAGAAAGATGAGGCTTTCTGCTCCCATAAAGATTTACAGCCTCGGAAACCCTGTACAGGGTCGCTATGGGTCGGAACCGACTCCACGGCACACAGCCATCAGCCATTGTTTTTTAATTCATCTGTTAATGGTCATTTAAGTTGTTTTACCTTTTGATGAAGGAGTCTTGGTAGCATAGTGGATTACGAGTTGGGCTGCTAACCACAAGGTCAGCAGTTTGAATCTGCCGGCTGCTTCCAAGGAGAAAGATGAAGCTTTCTGTTCCTGGACAGATTTACAGCCTGAGAAACCCTATCAAAAGTTGTTAGGATTTGAAACTAAGTCAATTCTAAGGCAACAATGGCACACAACCACCACAACCTTTTGTCTATTGTGGCAGAATCTGATTGAGTGTTGGAAATCAACCTATTATTTTTCACTCACCTTAAAATTCTGCCTATATAGAATGATATTCTTAGTTAATGAAAAAAATAAATATGAGCCAGAACATTACATGATTGACCCCTTGGTCAGATAAGCATTGGACTAGAAACCACAAGATCAGTGGTTCAAACCCAACAGCTGCTTCTTGGAAACTCTGTACAGGGTTGCTATAAGTCAGAATTGGTTTGACCACACTTTCAATAACATATTGCAAGAGGGGAAATAATGAGATCAGACTGAATTCAACTGTTTAAGTGATGGTAATGATCATCTTGGGTAGATGAGAGATGAAAGACTATTAGTCAATAAACAAAAAGGTAGAAAAGAGACAATCCAAATAAGAAGGTGAATAAACATTAGAATAAAAAGGTGACTTTCACGCATACATACACACACAAAGTTAGCCAAGATGTTTCCTGTGTTTGTTAATGTTCTAACTGGCAAGTTCCTGGCCTATGACTGTAAGGCCTTCTCTTCAGTGAATTCTTGGTTAGTTCCAATGTGAGATTTCTATTGTTTATTTTCTTCATCAAACAACCAATAAAACCAATAATTTAGAAACATTACTTAATATTAGAGTTTTTAAAGCACATCTGAAACTATAATTTTATTTCATCCCCATTTAGTTCATTTCTGTGAGGGAAAGTGTTATTATCTGAATTTAATAATTCAGAATACTTGGAGCATGTAAAAGTTAAGTGATTTGGTTGATATCACCTACTTCTTTACATGCATAGCTATGATAAGAATCTATGTTGTATTACTAATGGAAAAGGAAAATAAATTACTGATGTCTAGGATTCAAGCTGGCCTCAAAGTATTACAGCTCTATTCAATTTATAAGTTGTCTATTAGTTGAGATGGTAAAAGACAGTTGCTACAATGTTCACATATGCATTTATGTATGTTTTATTTATTCCTGGGGATCCAGAGTGAACTTACAGGTATCTGTAATTTTTATACTTAACTGTTTTTCTTTCTTTCAAATGTTAATTTTTCAGAGACATGGATCAAAGCTGTGAAGGAGTGATGAAAAAGGTTGGCGGTGTGAATCTTGATAAACTTATTAATGACTTCTCACAGATAGAAAAGGTACGCAAAGATATCAAACAGCTGTAGAAATAAGGAAAAATAGAACAGAGTTTTGCCAAGAAAGGAGTTAAGAAGAAAAAGAAATGTTCAAAATAATTAACAACATAAAGATAATGAAAATATATTTTGTTAAACCCTTCCCTCTGGTAGCGTAGTGGTTACGAATCGGGCTGCGAACCTTAAGGTCAGCAGTTCAAAACTACCAGCCGCTCCGCGGGAGAAAGATGAGGCTTTCTACTCCCGTAAAGATTTACACCCTCGGAAACCCTGTACAGGGTCGCTATGGGTCGGAATCGACTCAACGGCACTTAACAACAACAACAACTATATATATATATACCTTTACTTTTTTGTACTAATGCCTCAAAATATGTCTGTGGCAAGGGTCAATAATTGATATCCTGTGCTAAAGTTAAAGAGAACATACAACTTAAATGTTCAGGATGTCTATAATTTAGGAATTAGTTTTGTAAGAATTGAAGTAGATTCAATCTCTTACCATTATGAGTAACTTTAACATTTTTTTCTTAATTTAGTTCTTACTACTATTTCTATCCACCTCTCACCTGTCTGTGTGTAATACTTTGGGAGTGTTTGTGATGCTATGATGCTAAAAGTTATGCCACTGGTATTTTAAATACCAGAAGGATCACCCCTGCGGAACAGGCTTCAGTGAGAGCTTCTAGACTAAGATACAACAGGAAAAAGGGAGGTGGACTACTTCTGAATGTTTATCTACTGAAAACCTAATGAATAGCAGGAGAACAGTGTTGGATACACTGCCAAAGGCACTCAAAATACAACCGGAAAAGAACTGCCTCTTCAAAGCAGAGTTGACCATGATGACATAAATGTTGTAAAGCTCTCAGGACTTTCATTTGTGACAGGGCACCACTAAAAATGAGGAGAAACAGCCACAAACATCCATTAATAATTGGAATATAGAATATATGAAATATGAATCTAGGAAAATAGGAAGTTGTAAAAAATGAAATGGAATGCATAAAGATCAATATCCTAGGCATTAGTGAGTACTGGTGTGGCACTATAGGATAAGCATTGAACTGCAAATTACAAGGTAGATGTTTTCAAACCCACAAGCTGCTCCTATAAAACCATATACAGGGTGACTATGAGCTGAAACCGACTCCATGGAACTTTACAACCACAGGAACAACATTGAGCTGAATTGGACTGTTATTGGCCATTTTGAATCTGATAATCATAGGTTTACTATGTGGTGAATGACATATTGAAGAGACATGGCATCACATTCATCATCAAAAAGAATATTTCAAGACCTATCTTGAAGTACAGTGCTGTTTGTTATAGGATAATATTCACACTTCCACAAGGAAGACCAGTTAATAC